AAGGAAACACAGACTCCTCCCAGGTGCTTAAATTCATCTCAAGGAAGTCCAGTAGAACAGGCTAAAAGTCTATACAAAAAACAAGGGTGAAAACTGCTTAATGGGCTTCAGAGTCAAGAAAAAACAAGACACAGAATTACTGCTTGAAATTGGAGCTCTTCTTACTAACCAAGGGACTAGCCACGGGATGAGTATCTGAGACAAGGCTTCACGAGAACAGAAATGCTTTGGATCTATATTTATTGGACAAAGCTCGGAAATTGTGCTCATGGAGCTGGATAAGAGTGCTTTGTATAAAGGAGGAACTTTGCAACAACTTAAGAAGCCCAGAAAAAAAGTAGAAAATGGCTCAGAAAAGAAGCATAACAATCTTGGACCTGCAGGAGTAAAGGAATGTGCAGAGTCTGGCTGGTTGGCTCACCTCACTACCAAATGCCTTAACTAGTACAGAAGCTGAAGGGGGAATGTTATTTACTATTACAGAATAAGAATATATTACTAACCTATAAGCAACAGATATGCAAAAAGACAAGAGTGCCCATTAAACAAATTTCCTTTTAGGAGTGCTATCTGGACAATGCAACTACAAAACCATCCCTGGCTGCCTAAACACTCTTAATATTATTAAAAAAATTAAAGGCATTGTGGTCAGCTCTACACAGGTATGCAAAATGAAACAAGAAACTTTTTGGTCCTCTTGAGTACCTAAAGCAATGTCAGAAACATTTCTGTTCGTAGATTAGGAACCACAAGAATTACAGGAGTTTAGAATTGCTGCCATTTAAATATACTTTCTGTGCCCTAAGAAAAACTGACAGCACTGGACTGAGCAATCAATGAATCTCACAGACAAATGAAAGTGCCCCTTACCCATAAGGGTACATGAATGAGAAAACAACTGACTGAAGCATTGTGAAATTAATCTTATGTATATACAGTAAACATAAACCTGTTCTGTAAAATTTTCACCTTGAAAAACTCGAAAAATCCACTGTGATTTGAAGCAATACTAATGCCTCCCATGTGGGCTTCAATAGTATTGCTAGAGAAATGCTGCATACTAATACATTTTTACTCTCATCAGTACAACCTGCAAATCAAGGTATATTTGACTTAATCAATAAAAACATCCTACAGTTCTGATTCTTTATTCAATCAAACAAGGATCCTTACAACAGAATGTGTCAGTTCAGTGAGGCTGTGGAATTAATTGTTGCTAAAGCACTTGTGAACTTAATTCAGGCAGCTCCAATCCAAGTAAAGGGTTATTGCATTTCAAGGTCTTTTAAGTCAAGAATTTCAGAAGGTGTATCTACATAAAACCACACAGGTTTACAGTCTTAAAATTAATTCTAGTGAGTTTTCTGCAAGGAATGTTTCCATAAAAGCACCATAGCTGCAAGGACATCTTAATGCTTTTGTCAAGCACAGTGACTTTGTTTTTCTTTCAAAATGTGAAACAAACTCATGGTGTGTGAACTACCAATAGTAGATGACATTTCATTCAACAATTTTTGAGAAGCACTGTCTCCTTAAATGACTGAGGTTTCAATGTTTCTCTATTTTAAACAATTGCATCTCACAGACCACATTCTTCCCCTGAGAGACACACACACCTGAACTTCCCCCTAATACCTTCCTTTCTATGGCCTGTCTGGTACACCTTTTTACTTGATCTACTAACACACCAGGAGGCAAAGTAATCTTCCATCTCAGCAGCAAAACACTCTACTGCTGCAATGTTTAGAGAGTCAGCCACACATCCTTTGGACAACTATTTAGTACCTGGACAAATCAAACTAATCTTCTTGATCTATAGAGAAATGTAGCACTAGAGAACACTTCCAGTGTAAAGGAGAAACAAAAGGCATTTCAAAAAATTCTTCACCTTCTCAATCCTGATACAAAGTGTAACCTAGAATCCAACCTTCTGGCCCTTACCATTCTGCGCAGGTACACAGGAAAAGGAATGGTTCTGCTCATAATGTGTAGTTAATGAAGGTGCTCTTAAGGAGTATCACAATTCCTACTTCATGACCTTTAAGATCAAGAGAAGGAAGCAACTAACTAAAATGGAAGGGGAACATATTTCAAAAACATAAATAAAAATAAAGCAATAGCTGTACACTATAGTGCTTGAGTTTTGTGGGTTTGTAATTCATGGAGACACTATTTCTGAAGAAACTAAAAGAGGAAGCAGACTACTAAGGAAGGTTAAAAACACCAAATCACCAAATAAGAACTTCAAAAATTCAGATTGATACCTCTACACTGGGATGGGATGTACAAGTCTCAGAATTTACACTGGCTTGTAAAATTAATTATCTGACACTCTGGCATTGTGCTGAAAAGCCAGATTGTCACATAATGATGCAGAAATACAGGAATCAAATGCAAGAGCTCTTTTTTTATCAAAGGATTTGAGATTAGATACATACAAGTTTTTCTCCTATTTTTATCATTTTGTAGTGCAAAACAGTTTTGAGGATTCAATAGGTTTATCTAACATCTCCAGGACAAAAAGGCGACATTGTCTTAACAGCATTACACCAATAATCAGCCTCACAGTTCAAATCTGTCTGCTTAGTATTTTACTTTTCCCTGCCCCAAGAGCCCAAATTCTATAATTTCAGGACAAAACATTGAAGTCTGAAACTTAAACATAATCTCTTACAGGAAGAAATGTAGGTGATACACAATATAAGGTCTTACTTAGACCAGTCTATAACCTGTGTATTTTTAATTAGCAAACAAGAAGTTTTCTGTAGTTCCCTACCCACTTAGCAGACTGCAGGGTGGCTGCAGGACCACGACCAGACAGGCCCATACACCAGGCACACCAAACACAGGCAGGCTCTTGTCCAAAGACTGGTGGCTTAGTAGGCATGGCAACGCCTCTGTGGGGCTTAAGAGATCAATTTTGACATACCTCCACTCCAGTGAGGCTACCTGGTTTTAGCATACAGTGTGTTTAGGATACAGAAGTCTGTCTGCATTGGTGAAGCAGACACCCCTAGAGAATGTGCAGCCTTAATACTGTTTTTCCCAGATCAGACCATGCCATCTTTGAAAGCAGCATGAAGGGGTAGCAAGGAAAAGCTAAAGTGCTATCTGCATCTACACAGTTGAAGATAATGACTCATTTTCTTATAACCTTTGCCCCACATTTCAGATAAAGACTGTTGTAGTTGCAAACTTTAAATACTTAGCTAGGACTCTGTAATATTTTTAAATACATCAAATTACTTACTGAAAAATCTGGTTTTAATCAACACAAAACTATTCATAATGTCGAACTGAAACTTTCCTATTTTCCATAAAATAGAAATACACACAATGAGCAAAAATTGATTCCAGTGTCAAAGTCAATAAAAATGTAATTACTCCGTACAAAGCAGAGCAGCATCAGTGGGACACCTTCAGGAAACTGCTTTCAAAATACTACTGGAGTGGCTAAAAAGTATTCTAATATTTGGTAGTATAGGCTCAAATTCCTTTGGATATACATGGTTATTAAAGACCTCTCCAATACATTATGAGTTTAAAGAGCCATAGCTATATCCTTCTTTCACATATATGCCTTAAATCTGGTTCATCAAGTGAAAGATTTACAACAGAATGAAATCAAGTATATCGTCATTTCAGTAATTAATTTAGAATTACTCAAGTTAGTGGATTTACACATTTATATATATTAATATAAATTTGTCTTTACTCATTCCAATGCAAAAAAGATCTATTCTTCACATAAGCTGATTCATTTTATTAGTAACAGCCAGGATAGCTAGCAGTTTCAGTAAAAGCTTGATTTATCAACTCAAATTGATTAGTGCAGCCTTTGTGATTATTTTAAGGAATTACAATTATTATATAAATAAATTATTAGAAGCATTTTGTTGTGAAAGCATATATAAATGAACTTTATAGAGGTAGGTGTTACTAGCCTGCAGATACAACACTGAGGCACTTTGTTGATTTAAAATACAGGTATATTATTAGAGATGTAAACTTCTTAGAAGAAAACTAGGAAGTTATAAAATTCTTACAAGAATTCTTACATTCTTACAAGATGGCATACATACACTATGTACTTAGATAATTATAGACCCCATAATGAAGAGTAAAAAATAAGTTTTCAGTATTTATTGGTTTTTGATGAAAAAATGTAATTTTGGATAGGTATTATTCATGTTCTCTCAAAACTTGCTCCTTTTACAGTTAGAGACCTGTAAGTTAACACTGGCTTAAGGTTTTGTCTGGAAACACAGAACTATTCAGAACTACAATGGGAACATCCCACTGGAACTTCCTACCACATCAGGAAAGCCAGTACAGAATAGACAGTAATAAAACACGTTAAAGCACAGCTGTGAAAAAAAACAACTGTGATTTTTAGTGTCAGAATAATGCCAACAAAGTGTCAGATCAGTAAGCTGTTAAATTACAGAGTTGCCAATACAACTTAAGCATTTGTGTATTGAGGAGCTTCAGCTGACACAACCACACCACCCATGGATTGCACTTTTTCACTTGTCTAAATTATACCAGTAAAAGTTTCATGTTAAGCAGAGCTGTAAACATATATTCCACTTCAAAAGTCCTAGCGAAGGAATTACAAAACTGATCACAAATACAAGTCTTTGTGAAAAATTAAGAGCTAAGAATGCAACTATTTTATTTTTCATTTCATTCAATTTATTTGTATTAGAGTTTAATTGCTTTTTTTACATTTCTTGAAATCTAAAAGCTTTCTGAGTCACACTAGGATTCTAGCATAGTCACTCAAATTTTTACTATGCAGTATTTAAGATCATACATAACAATTATTTCTGAAATATGAATACAAAATACATGCAAGTGATCCACTAGCTTCTATTTCCACTCAAAAATATCTGTTCATTATGAAAAACAAAACCAAGAGAAAACACCACCTCCCTCAGGAAAACAGAGAAACTTACACAAATTTTATGCAAAATTATATTAAAGATGCATTATTTTAATCAATATTTCAATTTTTCTGCAGTGAATGCAATGATTCCAAAATAGGTTACAGATAGAGCAATACAGAATTTGCCCTGGAAAGCAGAAATCATAATTAACAAATCCTAATCGAAATTAGAGCTGCTGCACCTGTTGCTACTTAAACAAAACAAAAAAGAATAAACAGTGTCCTTAAACAATAGTGAGACTTAGTTCTTATTAAAGTACAGTTGCCTGCCCCAAATTGCAAAGGGACAGACACGAATGCCTTTATCAGGATCACAAGATTACAGTGCATTATGGTTATGTTGAATTTATCACAGCAAAATTGAAATAGAAGCAAACAAATGGGCACATATTCAGGCTTTGAAACTACCTGTTAAAACTGTCAGTTCTCATCTTAATTAAGCATAATAAATCAAACCAGCTAAAAAGCAGAGTCTCATATGGCTGGAATCTGCAAGAACCTGTTTTCAGAGAAATACTGTTATACTACTTGAAGTTCTGGCTTGAAATTCTTACAAAAACACTTTACATGGTTAACAAAACATTTTTCATTCTGTTTTGTTCTCTGTGATCTTATGAATTCTTTCCAATTATTAAAGTATAAAATGTTCAATAGGATCCATCTTTTCTACTACAGTACTTTGTATTGTTAATTACAAAGTGAAAATAACAGCAGAAGCAAGTGATTTGCAGAGCTTACTTTTCCAAAATCTTAATCCAAACTTTAATAATATGACATATTTAAGACAAGCTGTCTATTAATTTTCCTCCTTTTAAGGTTACCTACCAAATATATTTATTTGCAACTAGCTTCTAGACATATATATGCTAAGAACAAGAAAGCTACAAGAAATAAAATAAACACAATACTTGACCATACCTAGTAATAAGAACCGCATTATCATGGTGGGCAATCCCATTTTCTGGAATGGTGTTTCCATCACTTTGGTGGGAGAGAATGGATTTCTGCCACTTACAGAAGCTATCGAGGGACTTGTCTGCATGGTGGTTTATCTCCAAGTTTGGCTGCAATACAACATGCATACCAGAAATGTTCCAAACAAATTACTAAGGTCAGTTGTTAAGCCTTTTGAAAACTAAAATGGGACTATAATTAGAAGCAGTGGTTTCTAGGAATAAAATCTTCTTGCCAAATTTTATTTCTGTAAAATCTGACCCCAAGTTCAGCTGTGTATTACTGAACCATCATTCTTTCTGCTCCAACTTTAATAATCATTTTGTCAACACAGAAAAAAAAATCGAAATACAGATCTAAAAATAAAAATGACATCCCCGAAGGTGTAATAATAGTCACCTGAAGTAAGAATACATATCTTTGAGATGATATACGAGGAATATTCCCTTGAACTGCTTCATCTTGATTAAAGTAGTGAAAAATTACATGATAGGTTTTGTAAGGCAGCCACTTCAAGCTATAATTAAATAACTCTATATTGTACAATTATGTAATTTGCATTTCACAGGTATAAAGCTTAGCACAACAGCTCTTACCTGATCTTCAGTGAGGACAATCAAACGTGTCACTATAATATTCACAACGTTTCCTAGACTGGAATCACGATAAAGTTTGGCAACCTGACCTCCAGAAAATAAGAAAAGGCACAAAGTCAGACAAGAAACACTACTTGCTTCCTAAATGGTTAAAAATTAATCCAATTTCCTCATGAAGTTCCATAATGTAAAGTATCATTGTCACCTAAATACAAGTTAATTTTTGATCAAAAAATAACCATTCAGTTAAAAAAAAAACCTTTTGAGTCTCACTTTTCAGTTGAAACTGTTTACACCTTGCTTCATAATTCATCCAGCACAATAAGCATTTGGAGTGGTGATGTAAGCAGAACACAACTGTATAATCTCAGTGTAATTATTTGAATTCAAAATTAAAGACAACAATTTAAAAGTGATCACAACATACCTCTTGACAGAAAAAGTACTGCATTTTTCCCAAAATGCTAAGATTTTCAGTATTTAAGCTATTCATTCCTGCAAGCTAGTACCCATATTAAAGCATTATTCATGGCAATAAATAAACACCTGCCAGGTCCATTATCATTTCAGTACACACGTATCGATAGGAACACAGAGAAGGATGAAACTTACAATATTCATTACACTCAAAATGTAGTGTTCAATGTCTTTGCGACCATGGTATCCCACCATCATTTTGTCTGCTACTACCAGTGTTTCCACAAACCGTTCAAGGCTTACAGATCTCTTCTGACGACTATGACTACTTTGTGTGTCATTGACTGGAAGCGAAGCTGGAAGAGCAGATGCATCATTCATCCACCAAGGCTTGCCGCTTCTTGTGAGGTCTTCTAGGAACCAAAACAATTAGATACTTGAGAGGGAGTCACTAGTAAAACTCATTCAAATGCAGCTCTTTTATGCTGAGATTGCCATCTTCAAGGTTCTAACAAAGAAGTCCTTCTCGATGTGAAGAAAAATTTATTTTCTAAAATATTTTTAAATAACTTATACAATGGAAAGCCAACTTTGAGTGCCAATAATCTCAACTCTCCTTAAATTTGAATTAGGATGATAAATCAACAATCCTCTCCCAATAAATCTAAATTTGCATATTTATGTTACTATTAAGGATTCATTATAATTAACCACAAGAACACGTCAGAATGTTAAGAATAAGAACAAGAAAAAAAATACTAGAAACCAAAAATTCAAAACTAATGTAAAGTCAGAAAAACTTTCTAAGGAATTAAACATGCTCACAAAACACTAAAAAGCTCTTTCCCTCCTGCAAAAGTCTATAATTTTTAGGCAATCAAGCTTACAAGCATAAAATGAATCAATTTTTCTCTTCAGAAAGCTATCAGATTATATTTTATCTACCTTGTGAATTAACTGTAATAGAAAGTTTTAAATGGTCTGACATGGGATAATTGCCATAGTAATTTCAACAAAAATTTCTGTTCAAATATGTTGATTCTTGTTTTTCTTTCAGGCAAATATGTAGAAAAATATTTCTTGTGTGCAAAAAATAAATTATTAAAAATCCAAAGAGCTGTAATTATCGTCAAAACAAACATTACAAGATGGCTTTGACTTCTAATTCCTGTTCTCAAGCCAAAATTGAATCCATCCTTCCCTACAAAGGAAGGGAAGGACAGATTCAATTTTTTAGGTTTTTTAGTGTCTATCATATATCCCTTTTCCACAAGAGCCAACATAGATCTCAAGCCAAAGTTTAGCAAAGTATATTGTTAGTTTGGTTTTATCTATGTAGGATTTCAAAATATCTTAAGTTATTCTTGGTATTTACAGATGAGCACAAGAACATTAATAGACACATTTATAGCTGTCTGAACAGGACTGCTCAAGTGAGCAATTTCTGAGATGCATTGTTACCTCTACTAAAACAGGGTCAGCTAAGGATGAGTACAGATAGAACCTCCCATAAAAAAACAATGCTTATGCAAGTCAACTAAGCACCCTGATTTCAAAGAGAAAAACTACACCACAAAGAATGTATGTTCAGGTCAAAACCAGGAATACAAACCTTCAGCATTCCCACTGTTGCAGTGTTTCATAATTTTTGAGGCTACGGTATTGGCTCTAAAGGGTGCATATTTTAGAAAAGTCAAAAAATTAAAATAAACCTGGTAGTTATAAAAACACCAGTAACAAAATTGTCCTTATTCTGTAAAGGGTATAATCCATTCTAAAAAAACCCTGTACAAAGTATTAAAGCCTAGTTTGGATTATATAATGACTACTAAGCTTTCTCCTGTTTTTCACGTCTACTGTAGAAAACTCACAGTTGCATAAGTTGTTCAAAGATTTTCATCTCACTTAAACAGTGACTTAGGAATGTCTGGAATTTTCTCTGACAGCTACTGTACTAAATTTTTTAATTATTCATTTTTTTTCAAATAACAAATGCTGATGTTTTCTGACGCTCCTGGAGTGCTAAAAGTATTTAAGAAAGGCAGTACTGCTTCCACATTAATTCAAAATTTTCACTCAAAATGCAAATTATTCTAAATATTTAAAAACTTATTTTTTCAAGCACAAAACTTTAAGAGGGAAAAAAAGGATTCTTCAGAATTGTCTTCATACTATCTTTCAAACAAAGGTCTCAGAAGACTCCACAAGAACAATTTCTCATTTTATCAGAAAAAAAGCATAGGCTTCAGTTGACCTCAAATAAGAAAGCTGGAAAAATTCCTTGCACTCCAGGATGTATCAAAGCTTATGCTGCTTTTCTGTAAAAAAACCACTAAATAATGGTGCCTAAATTATTTAAATGTTAAAATACATAAGTGAATAAAGATCTACAGTTTATTTAATGAAAATAGTTATCTGACAACTCACATCATTCTTTCACCAAATTCATGAGTTATAAAATAAAAAATTAAACTCCATTAACATTGAACATAATAATAAGTAAAAAAAGGTAAAAATAAAAATAAATAGAAAGGGGAAAAACCCAAAAACTCGGAAAAAAATACCATAACTGACCCCAAAATAATTATTCCTAAAGGGTGACATTAGGTTTTAAACTGCAACTGAAAAGAAATCCAAACACATGTAGACATGGAGTTCACAACTACTGGACACATGTTTTCCTAAGTCAGTCGTTGAAGATACTGAGTGGTGGTCAAGGTCAAGAGAAAGACGCACAAACAGAAAAATATCTTAAAATGCAATAGCAAACTTCTTATATTAGATGCAGCTATAACAATATTTCAGAGCAAAACATTATGCCATTTTTTTCTATATATTTTAGCACTATTATTTCATACATCTAGCAAGCTTTTATTCCATTTTAGAATATACCAACAATAAAGTCTGACACAAGTGAAACCACTACATCAATCAAAAAATAGTAGAGCTATCCAGAAATAATCTGCCACTCAGCAGCTTTCATATGTCCCATTTTTGTTGTTTCTTAATCCTATTCAAATACAGCATTTTTCAAGATAATCCAGTGGTCTCAAAACCCATTGAAGCAATTGGAATTTGGCAGTGGAAAACTTCTTAGCAAGGCCTTAGTGATTTCAGCTCTATTTAATAAAACATAATTAATTGATGACAATATATCCCTGAAACACAAATTCCACAGGCTTCATTTTAACATCTTTATGTTTAAATGCTTAAAATCTAATTTATATTATTAAAATCTATCCTGTGCTCTCATCTGATTCTCCATGCCTTTCCAATTTTGCTCTTGTATTAACTACTATAATTAAATAATAATTAGCTACCATAATAGCTACACCACTGATTATGAAGTAGCCCATTACTTACTCATCCCAGTCAATTCTGATCGTGTTTTCACCAAATTCTGTAGTCCACTTTCCATTCTATTATTGTAATTTTTCCCAGAAAGGTCAGGAATTATACTCCCCTTGACTCTATCAACACCAAAATCCTGACCATTTCCCTAATGGAGAACAGGTACAAAATAAACTAGGTTACAGTAGGGGAAACTTGAGAAACAATGAATAGCGGCACAGTTACTCAAGCAGATGCCTCCCTGCATATAATACTAAGAAAATTATTCTGAAGGTAAAGTTAAAATCAGTCTCCAGACAAAATAAATCACATACTGCCAAAAGGTAGTTACAGCTTTTTTACAATTGCATTTTAAAACATAAAATTGGACTGTTCAAAACTTCCAAAACATGTAAAATTCCCTAAACATCACTGAATACCTGGCCTTAATCTTTCAGCGTGAAAGCTGTGAAATGGAAAATTAATATTTGACTTTACTTTTTAAGTATTATAATTATTTTTTTTAGATATTTCAGGATGCTTTGTATGCCATTTCCCTTTAAGACAAAGCTGCAAGAGTGCTGAGAAAATGAGTTTAAAAGGCTTTGGTACTCACAAGGGTAAAACAGAACGTCATCTGGAAAAGCAAGACCTTGCAGTCTTGGCAGAGAGTAAATTTTTTTAGACATTTTAATAGAGTGGAAATAGTATACAGAACAACAGGAAAAGATGAATGAGCATCATAATAATCTTTGGCTTGTGAAAAAGCAGTGCTTTAGTACTTCAATAATTAAGAACTTTGGGCTATGAAAGCTCAGGGAGTGCACAGGAGTTTCCACTAACAAAGGTACCGTCAATTATACAAAGTAATAAATGCTAAATATTGTACCATGTTTTACAAAAACTGCATGCAAGATATACAGCTCTAATCAACTTGAGAACATTATCCAATATATGTGCTTCTAATATTGCAAAACAAGTCTCTTAAATGTTACTGCCTGCTAACTTACTGTAAAATAAGGGTACTGGTAAATGCTCATTTTGATGTGAGAGCCCATGTGATGTATGTGACAGATATACCTGAACACAGGCTGACAAAAGTAGCTGCCTGTGCTTCGTGGCTTGGAGGACAATGACTTTCAAGCACTACAGTAGAAGACAAGATCCAGCAGAGGCCAATATCCTTTCTTTTTGGTAAAATGGTAAAAATGGTAAAATTGCCTGTTCCTACATTTTGAAACCTTCCATTTATTTCAAGAGGCTTAAGCGGCAGCTCTCCCATCAAAATGAACATATACCAGTACCCTTATTTTACAATAAGTTAGCAGGCAGTAACATTTAAGACACTTGTTTTGCAATATTAGAAGCACATATATTGAATAATGCTCTCAAACTAAAACAGAAGTTACATACATGAAATCTGACATTCCATAAACACAATTAACTGAAACACTCAAGAAAAAGCTATCCCCCAAGAATGGGATCTTGCAGAAAATCTATATTGTAAGCTTAGACAGCTGGTGCCACTAAACATTTTAAACTTCAAAAGAAGCTAAAATAAGTTACATCAATAAACAGTGATATTATTTTATTTTAAGATTAGTTATTTTCAGTCTTCCCCGTGCACTGAATCTCATGGAATACGACTGCCTAGGACTTAACTTTTAAGAGTAAACTATTATTGAAATATAAACAATTGACAAGGTTAGCACATTTTTCTAGCACGTTAAAAATTAACTTTTTGCTCTAAAAGAACTTGTCAGATTTATTCCACACTGTCACTGAGAAGTTAATTTTTGGCTTAATCAAGGGTTACATCAGAGTACCTAAAACATATAGCTGTAGAAGTTAAAACTACGTTAAAAAGAAAATATCTCTCCATTAAAACTATATAATCCTGCCCATAATGTACATCTAAATCACATATTTGACTATAATGGAATAATGTCAACCAACTGGACCAAAAAACAGGACTAAAACACTATAAACCTCCATAAACAAGAAAGATGTGGATTCAGTTCCAAATCTATTGACAATCATAATGCTGGCATATTTATTGCATACCAAGTTTCTCCAAATGACATGGAACACATACTAAACATTGAGCTGTAATATGTTGTCACTCAAGCATGCATTCCTGTTGGGGAATAAAGTACATTTATACACATTTTGAGGATGCCTGTGCTCATTTCTACCACTGTACACAACATAAGCATAAAATTAAGGCTTGCTCCTGCTGTCTTAGGTTTTGAAATACACTATAATCTCAGTCTGAATCCGGAAAAAAAAGAAAAATCAAAACTACTTTTCAGCAAGATATTACGTCACCCAGAAGGAAGATTCTCACAGCCACATTCTACACTGTGTTTTAAACATGAAACAAGCAAGATCTTAAAATACATCTCAAGCTATCATTTTTTAAAAGGAATGACACTCATTCTTGTTTACCTGAGACTCCACAGTGACTGTGATCATAGAGGTGTTGCTGGTGCATGGTAGATTTTTTGTATATAACATGAGGATGACCATTCTCGTAACTATAGTTACTAGAATCTTCTGTTATATTTCTTAAAGGCTCAATAAAATACTCTTCATCTTCTGTAGCAATGACTCCATGCTTAAAGAAGAAAATAAGAAAATAAAAGCTTACAACAGACAATATGGAACTACTATCACAAAACTTAACTCTAAAAGACATTCTCTGTGAAGAAGTCCACAGCTAGGAGCTAACACATAAAACACTGCATGAGCCAGCCCTCCTCTGCTGATTTTAGTATGAGCAGGGTAGGTGCCTATAAACAATACAGTGAGAAAAAATAAAACATATCACTCAGACTCCTGTTTGTGGAGTACTTTCACTGGGTTTTTTTTTGTAGATGCAGTTAAAAAAGCAGGAGATATTCTCAGAATATTATAAATAATCTCTTCAGAGAGATGTTGTGAATCTACATAATTCATACCCATTAAAAATTACACCAAGCCAAAATGGCCTTGCTCTAATGGCAAGTCCAATATCCATCCCTCTGTGTTGTCACACTGCTAGATGCCTAAAGCCAAACCACTCACCAAAGACAAACACCATGAAGAATTAACTTTAGAACACATATTCAAAGAAACCATTTTTATTTTACATCCAGACACAATCCCAAAACTGAGCAAGTTAATAGAAATCAAATTATTTATATTAAGTCCACTGTCTAAAAAGCATTTATTCCATAAAAACTCTTGCCACAAATCTAGCAAATAAGAGTTATTGCAGACTGTACACTAGACCTCATTCTCCATAACAAATGAATTTTTTTTTCTTCATGCTGCAGTGCAGAATAGTAGATATTCTATTCTCATAACTTTCACATTTGTGAACTCAGTTTCTTCCAAACAGGAAGTGGTTTATGGAAGAAAAGGGAGATTTCAGGCCAACTATGCAATTTCCTGAACCTTCAGCAATTAAAACTGAGCTTTAGCAGCAAATCCAGGTTTTGGATCCTTTCAGATATAGAAATATTGGGGAATAAGCTCTGACAGACTTCTACACCAGTATTTGCTAAATAAAAAAATCTGATACCCATATGTAGAAAATTCTGAATGTATAAACTTTCTACACGGGGAAGAGCTATTTATCAGATAGAAGCCTGAAAGCAGCAACTTCTACATTCGTATCCTGATTTGATGAATCACAAATTTCTACCACACCTTTTACCTGTAAAACAAGTATTACACATGAATCTTTTTTTAAGACTTCTATGATCAGCCATAAGACCACTTGCTCTGTATCTGCTCTGAAAATCATAAAGCTGTTTTCAAAGATCAGAGCTTGTCTTTGTATATTCTTGGTCAAAGCTCTTGTCCTTCTACTGTTTTGTACATAAAATGCCTACTGTTATAGTAGGCACTCATATATATATATATACTCACTTCTGAAACAACGAGATAGAACTTACAAAATAAATGTAATACATGTAATATGTCAGAAACAAGTGTTTTCCAAATAGAACTCTATCATAAGTCGTGAAAATATATGTATGAATAGACTGCAGCTTTCAACTATTCATTCCATACATTCTGAATGCAAAAATAAGTGTTCATTTTCAGTGGTATTTTTCATTACTAACTTAATAACTAACTCAAGGTTACCTAAGAAGGTAACATCAGGGTCTAAATTCACCTGGAAGATGCCAGTATCAAATTCCTCTTACAATGCCTTCTTGTTACTTGAAGTCTAAGATTTTACTAGAAAATAAATCATTTACTGGTATACTGCTGCTTAAATAGTATTGAAAATGTAAACCAAATTGTAACGGAGCTTGCCAGATGTGCAGAAAGAACCTTGACAGTTTGGACTGCATCCAGTCTGGATGTCAGACATCTGGGTTCAAGCGAATCCTGAGCCATTGTAAGCTCTGGTATTATGTTCCCACAGGAAGAGAGTCCTGCGGAGTGGTTCTAGCCAACACCATCAGGCTGTCTGACTCATGCCAAGCCTGAGGAGACAGAGGTACCATCCAACCTGTGGCACTGTCTCTGAGACAGAGTGGGTCCCAGCTTAAATTCCTCCAGAGCATACATCCTTCCTGTCTGTACTCAAGTCCAGCCATGTTTGCAAGTCTAAGCATGAATGAGATAATTATATCAGCTACTGAAACTGGTAATTATAAGTGGCGAGATTACCTCAGCGGAACTAAGTCAATTCAGAAAGCATAAACACTTAATTGCAGCACTAATTCTCTATACAAATTGCATATTTCTGCAAATGACTAAAGAATATCTGCAAACAATGGTCACAGCTCCTTCAGGTACCAGCAGTGAAAACAATAAGGAGAGCATCATTACTTTTTCCAATACCTAGCTGATATCTGACCTCATTTGCCCAAATGCTATGCTGTTTAAGAAAAAATGTTTTAATAATGTTTATTTAAGGAACTGAAAATAAATTTTAACATAGATCTACAAGCAGGTAGTGAAAACATATGTGTGCTCAGTCACTGATGTCAGACAAGTGATTCAGTAAGCACTGGAAACACCCTGACCCTGCATATGCCCCTCCCATAAGCTTGGCATAGGTATACCATTTTAAGTCTAACAGTATTTTTGGTTGAAAACAAAATTGTTCTTCCAGTGCTAAACTGATGCAAGCGATCTTCTTGAATCACAGTGATTCAACAGCAAAGTCACTGATTTTTAGGAAGCACTCTAAATTCTGCAACTAAAAAGTACCTTGGTGAAGGCAAGCATGAATTCAAAAATTCATGCAGCTAGAGATACTTGCATTGTTTATGTATTCAATGTTAATCAATGCCTGATTAATACATAGTGGGAAGTACACTATTATATCCAAACCAACATTCTAAATACCACACTTGATTTATAATACACTATTTGAGGAAAACAAAACTCCAGTTGAAAAAGGAGTTTGAACTAATGCCCATTTAAATCATTAAAATGAATTGTCTTTTTTTCTAAGTGTTGCTATTGTATTTTATCAGTTCATAAATTAAACTTCTGCTCCAAAGCATCATAAACATCATTAAGACATAAGAATGACCAGAAAAGGTTTTGACATAATACCATGGATATATGAAACAAGCTGAAAGCACCAAGAATGTTACTACAAGGAACATTCCCAAGATTATTATCTAAAACAGATTGTTTGAGGTCCTGTGTTATCCAATTCCACTATAGACTGCCAACTCATGCTAACATATACAAGGTCTGGTTCCAGCAGTTTGACATGCTCAGACAAATCTGTGAATCCACATGGAGTTCCCCTGAATTTGTGAAAAAGAATCTTTTTCTGTCAGGCTGTCCAGCCAGGGCCTTAACCTCCTTCAGATGGGGGACATCCATCAGTTGCAAAAGCAAACTGAATTATGGGGGACAAGTAAGTGCATGCCTTTTCCACACAGCACTATAGTTTCACAATTTTTCAACACCTTGAATCTTTTTAGGCTTTATGCTTTACCCATTTTTAATATAAAGTACTAGTAATGCAAACTTCTGAAAATGTGTCAGTGTTGCTCAGTACGTCAACAGCTGGCTATACACCATGATTTTATGACTGAGGAAAAAGACTGCATTAACTTACTGTGCTCTCAAAGATGAAAAAAATAGTGATCTGGCCTGAGACAGCACATCATGGAATCTAACAAAAACTTAAAACCAGGATAGGGACAGCTCATACATAATTTCCTGAATACTAATGTTATACAAAAACATATCAGTACCAAAGATAGCCCTTAAGTCACTGATACAGAATTCTTTCACATACAGTCAAAAATACCATAGTATATGTAAATTATGATCTATAAAAGTGGATGTATTCTTTAGAGTAAAATTTGCTTTCAAATAAGCTAATTCTTAAGAAAAATATTAGTAATTTATAGATATATGTATTGAGGAATAAATGAAGCAAACATTAAGTCTTCCAGCAAAATAATTCCCCACTGAAAAAGTAAGCCACCCACCTGTGCTCTCCTTATCATTTCTCTTTGGATGGAGGTAACTGTGCTGTCCAGCACAAACATAACAAAATGCATGAACTTCACATATATGGAAATACTGCATGTTTTACATTAACCATTTACTTAGGACCACAGTAGCCTCAAAATAGTTCCTACTACTGACTTTTTCAGCCAAAAATTACAAAATTTGATAGTATGCAAAACCTGTTTGAGCGCTCAGTTAAGAGCTTTGACATCTGGCAGAGGACAAAGAATCAGAATGCAAAAAGATTGGGGTTTTTCTTGATTTTATTACTGAAGGCTCCAGAACTTCTCTGAGATTTGCTCTTCTCAGAGTTGGTCAAACTCCATTTCCCTGAGGTAAAGTTCTTCTCCCCTCAGCTAGTCTATCATCATTTCTTTTCTTCTTTCCTTCAGCATGAAATAGTTAGCTTAGGAAATGCCTCAGCCTGGTTGCCTTGTACCAAACATCCAAAGGCCCTAAAATGCTGCTTATTGTAGGCTCTTTCATGATAGAGCCAAACATGCAATCCATCCTCAAGTGCAGCATCCACTACAGTAAACATGAATTTAGAAGTCAGAAACCCTGAAGACAAGACCTTCAATTTCCTCACATGAATGCTCACTGGATTATAGAGCTTTCCTCATAACTTCAGACAATTTATAGCATAATCAGATGGAAGCTGCTGGACTGAAACTTCAGTAAGCAGTAGCCTGTAATTCTAGGGCACTTGGTAATGAGAAATATAGAGGGAAAGACTGAAATAAGAAACAGTGATAGGGAAATGAACTGACTGCTTGTCTGGTTTTTTATAATGAAACTGATAGAAAACCCTCCTTACACTTATCTCAAAAAGTGTTCTTCAAAGTCACACAACATATGTTATTTAAATCATGCTCTCACATAACCACTCTGAATAACTAATAAGAATAACTCAAGACATCCAATAAGGGGAAGAAATTTGACCTATTTGTCAACAGTGAAACCTAACAGGACAACTGGAGTAAATATACTGCATACTTTTTGTTTGTGAGCAACATTCACTATTAAATATTACTTACTATCTGTTTCAGAGTTAAACTTACAATGACTGCCTTTAATACAGATCTTAATCAAGGACTATTAGAATGTGATTGGCAGTCACTTACAGACCAGCAATCAAACTGGAAAATACAATGAATGCCTTAATTACAATGCATTCTGAGCTATTTCTAACTCTAAAACAAGTATTATTGTCTTAAACATTCACTGCCAATTGCTTTATTAAACGTGTTCTAACCAGCAGCTGTATGAAAAAACATTCGTTAGTAGGAATCATCATTTAAAAATAACTTTATGATGCATTTATCTGACTGGAGTGGGAACTCCCATGCACTGTGCTCTAGAAGGCACTGCCAACACTGGATGACAGAAGGGTTTCTGTACAGTAGAGGTTGGTACAAAGTCAAGACTACTGCTGCACCCTCTGCAGGATTTATGCCTCTGAAATACAGCCATGTGTCACCCTGCTGATGTTTCTGGAGCAGCACAGGAGCCTCACATGCTTGTGACCAAATCTTCCTAAGAGATGCAGTGCACACCTGATACGGGAAGTCACGAGTAAAGACGCATGACCATGAAGAACCTGTTTGCCCAAAGACTAGATTAAGGCTGCCTTGACACCTGAAAGACACATGCAAAAACTGGCAACAACCACAGCCACTGAAGATGATGATTTAACTGGGAAACACTCTACATTGAAGTTAACTTACAAACACAATGTTACTGACACCTAGAACCACAGGCAGCTGCACTCCAGCAGAATGGACAGCCTGAGGGCAAAGGGAAAACATGCTAAATGTCACCTCAGGGTGTTGGGCACAGACAAAAAAAAAAAAAAAAAATCTGCTTCCTCATGACATGTACATTTTTTCCAAGACAACAAGTGCCATAAGGAGCAACAGATGGCCAAAGACAATAGGAAAATACAGGCTTTTTTGTGCTTCATCCCACCTTTATTTTCCTATTATGTAATGAAAACCAGACTCAGCTAGGGCAAAGACAGGATTTCTTGGCTCAGTCCCTTAGCCAAGGTCAAAGAGGAACTGAAATAGGATCATCATGGCACTTACTGCAGTCTCCAAGAGGACCAACTTGTCTGTGCTTCAATCAGCATGCAGCAATTACCATAAAGAGGCATGCAGTCTCTTTTAAATAAATGAGTCCTAAAAGAAGGGACTTGGTCTCCATCATATTTTTAGCTGAAAAGAAATCAAGCAAGGATGGAGTGTTCTAGCTGTGAAGCCTAAATAACTGTGACCAGAAAAAAAAAGCTATTACATAGTAACTGCAAACAAAATGAAAATTGTACTAAATTCACACCTATCTGCTGTAAGTCTACATGAACCAAACTGTAACACCACACTCTATGGAACATCATTTAACTCCATTTTTTTCAAAGTGTTAACTTAGCACTGAAGTCCCCATTAAATATTTTTCCTCAGGAACTCTCTGAAATGTTAAATTAGACTGTATCAGGCATATCACAAGTAGTTGGGTCTAATGCAACCTATATATGTCTGAAACAGCTGGCTTTTTTTTGAAAGTAACATCCCAAGAGGATGTCATTATTCATAGCGCTTCCAAGGACAAATGGGAATTACTTTAGCAAGCCTGTGTAATCTTTTTTTTTCTTTTTGAGCTCAGTAATTAGTTAGATCTGCCTATCCATAACAAGAAGATTGACCAGCATTCTACCATAATAAAAACCAGAATGAGAAACCATGATATATATGCATATTTTTATTAGAGAAAACACTGGCTCTTGATTTAATGTTTCATAGCCATGCCTTTCTATTTTAGTATTTTGTTACTTGAGTTTTTTTACTTCTTTGCGTTCATTTTCTAATTTCTTTTTCCATGCATATACTACTGTAATGTGATCAAAATATCACCAGTAAGAGAAGAGAATAAATTAGGTAAAAACTTCTAATTCTACTTCTAAATATAAAAGTTTACAATTTGTAAACAAAATCTTTCTGGTAAAAAAGTTGTATAACTACTTTCTGATGCTGTTACTTGCTAAAGACTTTTTATGTTTTGGATTTATAGCAATGACGATGTCTACACCAAGCAATTAATCTTCTTTTATTTACTTTGTTTTTAAACCCAAATACTCAAAGACAGTGGGTGTTCAGTCCAATCAACATCTCTCTGAGAGATTCAGTATCCTGAAGGATCCACTGTTTGCTCCTCCCTGCCCCTTGAGCTTGGAAGGCTCTTATAGCTGTGAAGATCTCAGCACAGATCTAATCCTGCAACCCTAGTGCAGACACTAGAGAGGTTGCCTGCTAGAATTGAGTCTCAGTACTTATATTAAGCTTGAAAAACTGACACCTACTTTTTCCCAGGACCTAGATCAGGTTTTAGGGGTTTTCTGCACCTTCCTCTCTACTTGCTTCGTACAGGGACCCAAAAAACTGAAAGACATCCAATTTAATTCTTCATCTGTAATTTAAAAGGGACGAGCACACTATTATCATACAACATGTAATATGGACTTACCAGACCATTGCAGTTGCTTAAGGCCACTTTAGTTGTACTGTGTCGGTCTTGCAAATATCCTGTGTAATGACAGTGGTCTAAGAAATCATGCTTCCATTGTGGTCCATCTTTCCCCCAGTACTCTACTGTAAAATGTCTGGACACCAAATCTGTGTTGAGAGTCAGGTTTAAATGAAAGTGCTTGCCATAGGCAGAAAGTTTAAAAAATAATTTAGATGCTGCCAGTTCTTGGTCATAAGGGTCTGTGCTCCTCCTCCTTCTTGAGGGTTTAGGATTTTTCACAGTAAAGCTGAGGAAGGCTCCATTTTGATCAACCCTTATTGGGATTGTTAGTTGGTAGTGTTCAAGGTAAGACAGGAATTCCTCTTTGTAATCAATCACAAGGTAAGACAGTCCAGGGAGTGGGCATAGAAGAGAAGAAAATATAACAGGAAACAACAAGTAGTAGCATAAACATAGACCATTTTTGGGTAAATTTCATCACTCTTATGAGTAAAAGTCACCTTCAGGTAAATGCACGATGCAGCATTTTACAAAATAAAATGAAACATTGTTTTCTTTCTAAGTCAAGAAAATGTGTTTGGTTTCCCATTAATTTGCTTACCACTGGAAATATGGAAGTTTTTTAATACCTACCATTATCTTTTCCTATTTACCAAAAATATGTAAATAATTGGGGCTAACAGAAGGGCATATTTTTCCCAGTGATAGCATTCAAAGACAATATAAAATCCACTTGTAAAAATACAAACAGTAGTAATGAAAAGGATTATATTGTAAAAACAAGATTAGATTCTTACTTCCTAGTCTAAAAGCATGTTAATTTTATCATGGCAGGTCTCTCAAATACTATCAAGTATGTTTTATGAGATTTAATTTCTAAGGCTTTTCTACAGTTAAAAGTCAACAGAGAGAAATTAGAACAAGGTTATTTAATCTGTATGACAATTAATCATGATAAAACTAAGAGCAGAGCCCAGATGAGCTCATGAATTATGTAAACATGGTTTAGAAAATATTACACAAATACAATGCAAAAATACGTGCTTCTTGTCAGCTACATAGATCAGACCCCTACCTTGAGAACTGTATGAAAGCCTGTTGTTACTGTGAAATTCCGATGAAACCATGACTAGGCTCAAAATCCATGTCCACGTCTTCCAAAAAATTTCCATAATTTAGAAGAAACAGAAAGTTCTTTTTTCTTTCTCCTAGGAGAGCTACCTGTGTGCTATAGGGTTAACTTCACTCCAGAATCGCACCATAACAGGTATATTTATTTTGTACTACTTTCAAATTAACTATAAGATGTTCCACTTTCTGGACAGGTACTTTCTTCTATAACTGTAGTCATTTTCTCAATTCCAAGTAAGTATTTGTAAGATTCCTTAAGATATGAGACAGATGTTAGATTGGATAGTTACTGAATTTGCTCCATTTCTTTTCCTGAAAAACAGAAGAATATGAGTCAAGGCAAATTCTTTCTATTAAAACAGATCTGTGCTGCAAAATACTAAGCCATGATAGTGAACTACACAGGGCGATATTTTGAATAATATTCAGTATCAATTTTATAGTCACATCCAAGGTCACAATCTTACAAAAAGAAAAAAGAACAGAAGAGTTACCGTTAACACTGAAAAGTAGATCCATACAGCTTATGATGCATTTATCAACTTCATGTTATTTTTATGAATTCTTACACCTATTTAGTGTTTCTTGTAGCTCAAATATTGTGTTCAGACTTGTTCCATCTATAATCAATGCTATGCACTCATTGATTTCAACTCTTAATAACATGTCTCAGTATAGTGGTAGATAAAGGAAGAACCTGGGAAGGAATCCAGAGTACAGTTATCTGATATTTCTGAAGCGTGTATTTTGTTATTACTCAGACCAGGGTTCTGCTTGTGCAGGCAGAATTCCCATTCACTTAAATGGGAATGCTGCATGTTAGAATACTAAAGAACAAATTTCAGTATCTAAAGCTATTCATCATACACGTTCTAACATTTCAAATATTTGTTGTTCAATTTTTTTTTTTTTCATTTACAACACTATTGCAACAATAGTAAAATGCAGCTCTAGGTACAGCCAGGGATTAAACGGAGGATCCACGCAGTCAATCCAGTATCATGGGATATCAAACTATGTGTTGTGTCAGCTGGTACTCATAAGTCCACTTAAACACTCACAGCACACCTGTGCACAAACTCTGCTGAAGCAGACAATGGAGAAACAGAACACCTAAGAAGGGGAGCTTGTTTAAAAACCAATTTCCACAGGCATACAGAGTCACTTGCACACGCACCAGATAAATCCTGGGAATGATTTACAACATTCATTCAGACAGGTAAGACAGGTACAGCTAATGGATTATTTATGAAGGTTTTATAAAGAGCTGTAACATAAAATCTGAAGAAAAACAATCAACATCATCCAAATCCTATTTACCAATATTACAATGAATATTTAGGTAATGTCTCAACCAATCTGAAACCCATCTAATTACTAATGCGCAAATGAGGTTAACCTGACCTTTTAAAAAATTTTTCAAGACAGCACCCAGTATTTAATCAGGTTTCTAAAGAGACTAAGACACTTTGCAAACATGCTTTGTGCTTAGTAGTACTTTTTTCCTGAGGAAGCATGAAGACTTTGTGATACCATTCACATATGGCAAGGCCTCAAAGCACATTAATAAAAAAGCTCTCTGTTTGCATTGCTATGTAGACTCTTCATTTCCTAGCTAATACTTAGTTACAGTTCTTAGAATTTTGCAAGTTTTGAAGATACATAATTAACCCCATACTCTTGCAGCTACATTAGTACAGTAAGTAATGTGCCTTATTTCTAATCTCAGAATGTATAGTTTCAAATTCTTGTCACTGAATCTTGCTTCATCCCTGTTTGCTAATGAGCTGGTTTCTTTTCCTTATGTGCATAGTTATAATCTGATATGAGCACCTCTGGACACTTCCTGATAAGCAGCTCAACCTATTTGGTTTATCTCATTCAGTATAATCCAGTTTCCACGTGACTGAATACTTCTGCAGTTTTTCTCTGAACTGTTTCCAATTCATCAGCATCCCTTTTCATCTGCAGAACTGGGCACTGTAGACCAGTAATGGCTAGTTACCACCATATATAGAGGTAATATTGCCTTACAGCTTCTACTTAGCCAAAATATCCTAACACAGAGCTCATGTTCAGCCTGTTAGGCTGATAAGTTATCCTAACATTAAGATCTCCTGAAACTGCAGTACCTAAGGAGCTAGATAGATCAGAACATATAAATTAACAGTACCCATTATTTAGCAACATTATTTTATTATTATTATTATTTACCCACCAACAGCCCAAATGATGGACCATAACCATATGTTGGTCAACAGTGTCAAACAGTCACTCATGCTTAGTGTTCTTGCAGAGGTCTCTGAAGTGGTCTCCCTCATTTCAAACTTCACACAAGACCAATCTCCTTTCATATCAAGCTCCCTGAAAGTTTCAGCAGAATTCTTTGCCTCTTCTTCAAAAATATTTATTGCCATGGATACAAGCTGACCATAGGAAGCTACACTAATGTTTCCAATAAAAGAGTGGTAATGGATGTGAATGATAAAGCAAGCACTCAAGTAACTTCAAGATAAAATAAGTATGACATTTGGTAGGAACCTCAAAGTCTGGGCTCTATACCCTTTTTGTTTTATTTCCACCTTCTGTAGAAGCCTTTTTTCACTATAGATTGTTGTTAAGATACAAAATTTGGTCAACACTAAGCTTACAATAAGAAATTTCTAGTGTGTCATGTGGTGAACTACACATTCACTCACTGGTAAACGTAGGTGTGGCTCCATGTCCTCAACCACCACCTAAAACCACAGATCCTGTCTATCTTTAAGAGTTCTGCCTAACAGGAAAGGAATAGTACAAGATGATTTCTGATGACAAAACAGCTGCTTAGCACTGGCATTTCTCTGAAGGCACTGATGATAACTGTGGCGGTCCTGTCACTGATGTCATGAGGTTCCTACTTAGTGACAGCGAGGAGAAAAAAGGCACAGTTATTGGACCGTGTTATGAGAGGAGGCTGAGGGAGCTGAGGGTGCTTAGCTTGGTGAAAAGACAGCTCAGGTATCACCTTACCGCTCTCTACAGCTCCCTGAAAGTGTACCGGGGGGTGGGGGCGGCGGTCAGTCTCTTGTCCCAGGAGAGGACATAGCCTCAAGCTGCAGCAGGGGTAGCTTAGGCTGGACACGAGGAAGAATTTCTTCACAGTGATTAGACATTGGGATGGGGTGCTCGGAAAAGGGGTGGTCACAATCCCTGGAGGTGTTTAAGGAAAGCCTGCACATGGCACTTGGCACCATGGCCTAGTTGACAGGGCAGTGTTCAGTTACAGGTTGGACTGATTGACCTTAGAGGTCCTCTTCAACCTACATCATTTCGTGATAAAGTGGACGATGAGGAGGTGACTAGCCAAACTGCTCAGGCAAGTCACCATGAGAGCCTCCACCTAAACAAAGGTGCCTTGGGCAACTAAGGCATCACTTAAGCTGAAGGCAGCTCATGTTTTAGGACAGGGAAGCATCCGAGACCGATGTCCCAAGACAAACGCCACAGCAGGGGCGTCCACCACAGAACCGATGGGTTCCGACGCGCTCGGCGGCGGCAGCGCCGGGGTGTCCCGTCAGCGGCCGGGGTGCCAGAAAACACAGGGCGCGCATCGCCGGACCACAGCGCCCAGAAGGCTGCTACGCCGCGGGGCGGGGTGGAGGAGAGAGAGCCACGACCGGGAAAGG